CTTGCTGAGCTGGAACTATGCTTGTTTTTGTTGTTTTGAGATATAGTCTCTCCACATATCCCAGGCCGGCCTTGAACTCCTATCATCCTCCAGCCTTAGCCTTGCTAGTGCTGGGCTTCCAGGTATGAGCCATAACACCTGATTGACTGTGGCTTATTGACACACCTCTGCAATCCACTAGACTTTGAGCTACATGGGGAAAATTCTGCCTTGTTTTTTTGTTCTGTTTTGTTTTTGCTGCCCCACACAGGGGGATCGGTACCGAGGAGTTCCAGCAGGGACATTGGCATTCTAACTGACCCAGCACTCCTTACTCAATGGCGGATTTCAAGACTGGATAACCATTAGAGCAACCACAATAAAATCGCATTCAAGATGCACAGCAGACCATTAAATCAGCCTTGGTGACTTCTTGGTGAGATCCAAGTGTCAGCTTGTTTGAAGCTTCCCAGGTGTTCTGTGATGCGCAGACAAAGATGAGAGTCCTGATGAGCTGAGGTGGGTATGGCAAAGGCTGTACTGAGACAGGACCCCAATCTTCTACTGTCTCCTGGTCTCAGTTCCCAAAATCGCTAAGATCACAGGCTGATGGCCAGCAGTCTCAGATCAGGCTTTGCATTAGCGGACTCTTCGTTTTTTCTGAGACCCAGAACTATGTTGGTCCCAAGAAAAGTATGTTACTTTGACACTGAGGTGTGCTGTGGGACATTTGTATACTGTGTGAAGATGTATTTCTGTGATTGGTTTGATAAAGAGCTGAATGACCAATAACGAGGTGAGACTATAAGGCAGACTCCTGGGCAGAGCGAGAGGAAGTAGGAGACGAGTCTAGACGCCATTGAGACATGGAATGAGTTGGACACACAAAGTGGGAAAGAAGTAAAAACACATGTGGTAGAAGGTAAAAGATTAACATTAAAAAATGGTTTAAATGATAAGAGCTAGTGGGGTTGGAAGGAACCTAAGCTAAGGCCTAATTTTCATAATTAATCAATCTACATGTCGTTATTTGGGGCTGGTGGTGGAAAAGAAAGTCCTTTACGAAGGTGTATAAGCAGCGTGGATGCTGTGACCAAACACTCTTGAAAGAAGCTGTGTCAGCAGAGACTGACTGACCAGGATTTCAGTACTGTGGAGAGACTGGAGCGCTTAGATCTATTGGCTAATTGCTTTACGTTGGGCCAGCATTAGCTCCTGGGATGACCATTCCTTACCCACCTCTAAGTTGGAACTAACACCCTGTGACTAATAGGTAAAAACATTTGGAATCTATTGACTTAGCAGACCCACTGGCTTCCACCGACCTGAAAGCTAAGAATAATATCAGATAGCAAGCTGGGCCTGGAAGAAAAGCCTCCCCCATCTTGCTGTAACTACCTCACTGATGTTCCCACCAATGTATTTTAAACTTGCCTTAATTTATGACTTTGTTTGTTCTGTGGAACTATAAACTATAAACTGTTCTGTGACGCTGTTTCCACACTGGAGCCTGTCACCTGGAGTAATCTCAATCTGTGTTCTCAGGCTGTGGTCCTTCAAAATGGCTCCAGAGTAAATGGTCTCTGGTTCTCTTTAAGATGAGAGCTCTGGTTTTGGTCTTGAGAGTGCTGATGAGAAATACGCTGCAGGAGGGAATGTGTATATGTGTGTGCCCAGTGGTGCATGTGCATACATGCAGGTATGTCTTTGTCCATGTGTGTGTGCACACTCATTTGTGTGGGCAGTCGAGGCATATGGGCTGGGATTGTCCTTGCAGAGGCTGAGGGACAGCACAGGCCAGCAGCAGTATCTTCTGAATTTGGGGACAGCTATCTTGTGGTTGGGGGAGCCTCCCTTCAAGGCTGTTTGGAGAAGAGATTCATGTACTCCGCAAGCTGTTCTCCTCAATGGGTCACCGCTAATGATCCAGTACAAGGCAGAGAGAAAACCCTTGGCCATCAGAGGCAGAGAGGGATTGCTAAGGCTCACAGAACTGAAACCCCTGTGTGGTTGTGGGAGGGGGATGATGCCTTCCTGTCAGTTTTTATGCGAGTGTTTCTTTTTAAGCACCAACCTTTCTGACTTTGATGCAAGAATAAATTAATTCCAGAGCCCTGACTTGGAATTTTCCGACTCTGCCTGTCTACTGTCTATCCACCCACACAAAAGAGAAACTGTCCAACCTTGTCAGCTTTAAAGGGAGCAGCTTGCATTTCAAGCTCACCCAGGGAGTCTCTTGAAAGAGCATGGAGGTTTTTGTCAAACCTCTTTTTCGTCTTCAGAATTTGCCATTTTAACGAAGAGCTGCCTTCTTTAGACACAAATAAAATGCTGCTTTCCTGGGCTGCCCGAAAGTGATTTTCTTGTCCAGCTGGGCATGATGACTTCAGACTTATCCTATTAAAATTTAAAAGGAATCGTTTCTAATGACTCCTCATGTAACACCTAAGGGTGACATAGCTTATGTTTATATGGAATCTGTGTTTTTGGCAGAATGCAAAATATCTGTCAACTTTGGTCTGGTTGGCATTCTAAAGGGATAAAAAAACTTTAAAAGATGTCCAGTCACTCTGATTAATCATTCTGCATGTGAGGCAACAAGGAAATGAACACACTCTGCAGGGATTAGTCAATAAATGCTTTCTGATGATGGATGTGTATTTGGACCAGCAAAAGAAGATGATACAGGATCGTGATGCAGACTCTGGGTCTCAACATCTCAGTTCTGAATAACTGACCACTCCACCCTTTGGAAGTTCATATTGGATGCCTTCTTCCCTGCAGGTTCATAGCTCTTATAATATATTTCACAGTATTTTCAAGTTTTTATCCACTTATTTAACTTTTATTTTATATGGGGGTGTCTTACTATGTTGTTTAGGTTGGGCTTGAGCACAGTGTCTACTTAACACTCCATTGGGAAAGCTACTTTCTACTATTTACATCTCAAGGTCCAGACATTAGGGGTCCTAAACACATTTCCTCCCTTCCTTCTTATCTCCTTCTGTGCACACACAAGATTACACTGGAGTATTAACGTGCTTCTGTGTGAATGAAGGGAGACAGACGGTTCCCGTGCCTGGGTCTTGCGGGAGCTTGAAGAAGTCTCCAACACTGCATAGATGCAGTGCATCAGACTCTTTCTTCCCTAGTAAAAACCCCCACCTGGTACAAACCCCTCTAGATATTATCCCTGAACTGGAGCCTGAAGAAATCAGAGTGGAAATTCTTTATTTTCAAACAAATGGGATTTATTGGAATGGCTCACAGGCTGTCTATCATTGTTGGTCCAGCTAGTCCAACAATGGCTGTCTATCAATGGAGAGTTCAAGAATCCAGGAGGTGTTCGGTTCTCAAGGTTGAACGTATCAGCTGGTCTTCAGTGGACACTGGAATTCTGAAGAAGTAGGCTCCAATGCCAGTGACGGAATGGACTTGCCGGTGAGGGCAAGCAGACAAAAAGCAATGTCCTTTATGGAGGCTGCCACCAGAAGATGTGGGCCACATTAAAGGTGGTTCTTCCTCCCTCAAAAGATCCAGATTAAAAGTGGATTTTAATGATTTAAAATTAAATCACTTTTAAATGATTTAATTAAAAAAAATCCCTCACAGGTGTGCCGAGTCACTTGGGTTTTGGTTAATCCCAGATATTGTCAAGTAAACACGACCAAGAGTAGCCATGGCCACACACTTCACCGAGGTCCTTTAAAGAGGCTTTGTGGGCACAGCAAAAGACGTCAGAGAAGAATGTTGTGCATGTTCATTGATTTCACAGGACCTGCTAATGTACTCTCTTAGTGTCTCTATGGCACATCGGGGGCCTTTTGCTGACCAGGGCTAATACAGAAACCTCAGCAGGCAGGAGGCTGATTGGACCTTTCTTATAACTGTGCCCCAGGCTTCACAAGCCTTTACTATGTTGTGGCAGGAACAGGTTCTTTTGTTGCTATTGTTGTTTTTAGCATGGTTATTACCGATAATGAACTCAGGAAGAACAGAAATCACTTTATGTGCTGAAATTTCTCTAAACCCAGAGGATAGAGTTGTTTTGTTTATTTTCTTGGATAAAAAGGTCAGCTCACCACAGCTCATTACTGACTAGCCTTCTGTCACACTCACATCAGGGGGTCCTCTGAGATGTAACCGTTTATGTTTACACTGGTTCTGCCTCAAAAAGCCTTAAACACGTGTCTGCATTCCTTCACTTTGTCTCGTGAAGCTGGAGTGACAGCCCGAATCCAGCTCACTGCAGTTGTGCTGATCACCTGTCTGGGGGAAATACTGTGGTGGGGAAGGCTAGCATTTATCATTGAGAAGTCAAGAAGAAGAAAGTACTACTGACGGGCTCTCAAGATCATCCCTGCATAACATGTGAACACACACACACACGTTCCTGGCCACATAGGTGCGCACCTGGGCAGACACATATCCCTAAAACAGTGCTGTTTTGAACTCAATGTACAGAGCGAGAAAGACTGTGGTTCAAACACCGTCTCCGTCTGTGTGATGGTGCACAAATGACTCAGTTTTCCTTTAGCCTTATGCTTTCAAAAGTGACGGATATGATAGAAGGGGTCTAAAGTATGAGAATGAATATAGCAACATCCAATAAAATCATGTCTAAAACTCAGGCCTCTGAGAACCTCCTTAGGCCGTAAGAACAGTTCAGTAGGTCAAGGGCGACGCTGGCTCCTGGACAGAGTGTGAGTGGCAAGCACCCCTTCACACTAAGTCCACACAATGAAAGTTAGATTGCTGTTAGTGACTTCAAAAGCCTCATAGGTGTGGCAAGCTGAGAGAGGGACCTGTCGGCTCACTGCAGTGAACGTGGCACTAACTCAGTTTCTCTAGGTACAGAGAGAATAAAAATGTCTGGCACAAGGCTTTATCCTGTTCTTTCATGAGCTGCTACTTGAGGGCTTGCTAGAACTGATTGCCACTCTTCCGCCATGAGTCAGCCAACTCTTAGGAGACCACACTTGAAAGACAAGACCCCACAGCTGATGCCCGAAGCCTCTTACCTGTCGTAATCTTGGCAAATCTCTCCCACAGCCACCAAGGCCTTCAGGTACTCATTGGGCTGGTATGGGTGGATATAGTGCAGGGAACAGCTGTTCCTGGGGTCTCCGTTAGAGGCTGTGAAATCTATAGCTACCTGAAGAGAAAAACCAGAAGGATAGATGGGGTTAAGTCAACCGCATTGTTTAGGAGCCATGACTAACCTGGAGAGAGACCTGGCCTCAGATAGAGAAAAATAAAGAGCACGTGACATATCCAGCTCATTAGAAAAGTGAGAGAAGTTAATCATATTTCTGAAAAACTAGTTATTAATTTGACTGATGTCAGCTCTGCTATATTTTCTAATCTCCACCTCTTCCTGACCAAGTGGAACTTGAGATTATAGTTTGGAAAGCCCAGTCCTCATTGATCCATGTCTCCAGGCAGCCAGGGTCAGGGCAGAGTATCTGTTTCCAGTTTCACAATTCACTAAGAAAAGGCTCCTGTGCTCCCTGGGCAGAACAGCTCCATCTATGGAGAACAGTCAAGAACTCTTATGGTCAAATTCTGTAGAGAATGCCATCTCCCCAAGAAAGCCAATGTCATATTTCCATGAATGGTCTGCTGCAGAGATATGTATCGGAGTGGTTTTAACAAATTTTCTCCCAGGAGTAACACTGTAAGCATTCTTGCATTCACAGGAGATCTCCTTCCTGCAACGAGGAACACGCCTGGGTAGCTTATCGTTTCAAGTGGGAGCTAGAGAACAGAGCCTCTGACTGGTCCTCAAATAGTCTTTTCTCTTTCAACTTCCTGAGATTAGTCTAACTCCCAACTCATAAATTAACATTTTAAGACAGCATAAAAAGCAACGAGTTTCTTCATGGAGTTTGTGTACATGAATGGCATCATATTTTATTCTTAATTATTCTTGCTCTGCACAGTGCCTCGTGCCCCCTCTGGCTGAGTCCCATCCTTTGCTTGCTTATTACTTTTGATTCTATTACCCTCTTTCCCCATCCATTAGGATTTCTTCTTCCTCTCACAGTCCTCTAGTTTCATCACGCACACACACACACACACACACACACACACACACACACACACAGTTTTAAATCTAAGTTCTATATATAAGAGAAATCATGATACTTGTCTTTCTAAGTTTGGTTATTTCACTTCATGCAATGATTTCCAGCTTGCAATCCGCTAGTGTTAAGATTTCACTTTTATGGCTGAATAAAATTCCATTATTTATCCCACTTTCTTATCCACTCATCTGCTGGGGGGACATCTGGTTATACTGCCTGGTTACTGTAACTACAAACATGGGGTGCAACACCTCTGTGGGATGTTGAGTTGGAATCCTTCAGGTATATTCCCAAGAGTGGTGCAGTTTGGTCATATAGTAGTTCTGTTTTCAGTTTTATGATGAGCCTCCATGCTCCCTTTCATTGTGGCTACAGAAGTTTATGCTCCCCACCAATAGTGAATAAGGGTCCCTCTCTCCCTACTCCCCCATCCACATTTGTTATTGGTTTTTTTGATGGCGGCCATTGAGATGGAATCTCAAAGCAGTTGAAACCTGCACTTTTGTTTGATGGCTAAAGATGTTGGATAGCTTTCCAAGTATTTATTGGCTACTTGTATTCACTGTTTTCTGAATGGTGTATGGTGCATGTGTGTGGGTACACATGCATGTGTGTGGGTGTGTGTGTAGGCCCAAGGGTCAATGCTGGATACCTTTCCTGATCACTCTGCATCTTATATATTGAGGCAATGTCTTTTGCTAAACACAGAGCTTGCTGTTGGGCTAGTAACTTGGTCCAGGATTCTGTATCTGCCTTCTACACACTAGGATCATACTACACTCATTCGACTTTTACATGGATTCTGGGATCTGAACTCTGGTCCTCACAAGTGTGAGGATGCACTGAGCGATTTCTCCAGCTCCTGCATTTCTTCTTTAGAGAACTATCAAGTTAGTCCATTAGCTCATTTGCCTATCAGATGAAACAGTCTTCAGCATTTTATTTTTGCAGTTTTTTTTTATGTATCCTAGACAGTAATCCCATGTCTAATGTGTTGTTGGGAAAGACTGTCTTTCCATACTGTAGACTGTTTCTTCCTTCTGGTGACCGTTTCCTCTCCTGTGCAGAAAACTTTTAATTTCATGTAACTAGACTTGTCAATTCTTGGGCTTGCTTCTTGTGCAACTTGAGTCCTTTGCAGAAAGTTCTTGGCTATGGCTACATCTTGAAATATTTTCTCTCGGTTTTCCTCTAGAAGTTTCAAAACTTTAGGTCTCACATTAAGGTATTTGATCCATTTGGAATTAATTTTTACACAGGGTTAATGATAAGTTTCATTCATCTGCATGTGGAAATCAAGTTGTCCCAATATCACTGTTAAAGAAACTGTCTTCTTTCCAATGGACGTTTTTGACATTGTGTCAATACTGTGTCATTGGAACTGTTTTCCTACTATAGCTCTGTAATGTAATTTGAAGCCAGTGATTGTGATACCTCCAGCACTATTCTTTCTTTTAAGAATAGTTGCAATTTGGGATGCTTTGTGTTTCCATATTAAGGTTAGTATTTTTTCTTTTTTCTGCGAATAAAAATATCATTGGCATTTTTACTGCATTGGATTTATAGATCTCTTTCACTGACCTCATCTTATTAACAACATTAATTCTGACAATCCATCAGGATAGGGGGATTTTTAAAATCTACTGTCTTCTTCAATTTTTTTCTGAGAGTTTTTCCACCTCCTTTGTTAGATTTTTTCTTAGTTGTCTTATTTATTTTTAACCTATTGTGAATAATATCCATCCCACCCTCAATTTCTTGTTGTGAAGTATAGAAAAGCCACTGGTTTCTGTGCATTGATTTTTGTATACTGTGCTGAAAGTGTTCATCAGGCCTAAGAGTTTTCTGATGGAGTACCTTGGGTCTTTATGCTAAGTACAGAACAATGTTGTCTCAAAATAGGAAAATTTGATATCTTCCCTTCCTATTTGTATCCCATTCATTGATTTCTCTTGTCTTATTGCACCAGGATTTCAAGAACTGTGTTAAAAAAAAACAGTGGGGACCTTTAAATCTAGAAGAAATTGTCTAAGTTTTATCCATTTACTATAATATTGGTTATAGGATTGTTTTATAATAGCCTTCATTATGTTGAATTATATTCTTCCCAGTCCTGTTTCTCAGTACTTTTATAATAAAGGGATGCTGGATTTGTGAAGTTTTTTCTTTTTTCTTTTTTTGGCATTGATCATGTGATTTATACCTTCAAATCCAATCATTTGCTGATCATACTTTCTGATTTGTGCTTGTTAAACTAACATTTCTCCCTTGGGTTAAAACCAGCTTGGTCATGGTGTGTAATCTTTTTAATGTGCTTTTGAGTTCAATTTGCAAAAATTTTATTGAGAATTTTTACAGCAATATAAAATATGGTAGACACCTGCAGTTGCTTCACTGTGGGCATGTCCAGTTTGGCATCAGGATGATACTGGCATTTTAGAATGAGTTGGTAATGACCTTTTCCTTCGTATTTCAGAGAACCCTTTGAGAAGCATTGACATTGGGTCATCTTCAAAGAGGTGGTAGAATTTAGCAGTGAATCTACCTGGTCCTGGGCTTTCCTTTGTTGAGAGATCTTTCCATTACTGCTTTTGCCTTGTTTATGAATTGCTGCGGGAGCTCCTTCCGCTCCTTCAGCCAATGACTGCTGAGATACCAGCCCATTGGGACGTGGTCTCTCTCTCTTTAAAAAAGCAGCAGCTGTCCTCTACACCCTCTCTGGCTTCCGGCTTGGCTTCCGGCTCCTAGACTCCTTTCCTGTTCATGCTGTTGTCTGGGATGGTAATCTGTAAGTTTTTCCCCTTTGAATAAATAACCATTCTATTAATCATAATTCCAGACTGGTGTGGGATTGTTTGTGACTTACGCCTTCAATGAATATCTTAGAACTGGAGTTACAGACGGTTGTGAGTCATTATGTAGGTGCTGGGAATTGAACTCAGGTCCCCTGGAAGAAAAGCTAGTGCTCTTAATCACCAAGCCACCTTTCTAACCCTGAAAGAGAAGGTCAACTTTTTGATAGAGTCTTCAGATGGTTCTTTATCAAATACTTCTTGACAACAACCAATAACAATGAATACTTAAAGCCCAGGGTGTTAAAATGAGAGGGAGCATCTCAGATTTCCAGCAGTACCGCCATCAAAATAGCCCAACCAGCAAAGACCTCTCAAAGACTGTTTAGCTTAGGGTGGGGAAAGTTACAAAGTGAAATCATGGGAGAGAGTAGAATGCTCATGTTACGTCTTTCTTTTCTGTTCATACTATAATAGAATGTGCTTCCTGGTTCCCTAACAACAAGAAAGCTCTTTTTTCTCATATGATATTTGGGATTATAAGACAAGAACTATTTGGCTATGTTATATTTGGAAAATTCTATTATGACTAGTAACTGAGATGTTTCCTGGGCTTAAAAAATGGGGCATTCTGGAAGGATATAAAGCTATACTTAAAGAGGAATGTTGGTGGGGAAATACATTACTTTGGTTTAGGTTGCAGCCCTGTAATCAATCAAAATAAAAAGAATAAGCCAACTGTAATTTACTTAAAACTTTCTTTGCTTTCTTTCATGAAGCTATCCCCCCATCTTCCTTACCTCTCTACAGGACTTAGTTAAAAATTAACTTAGGAAGACTTCAACTCTAGTTTCAGAATCCCCGTTCTTGTATGACAAGGAATATCTACTGATACGATGAAAGGAGCTGTCTGATAGGGAAGATTATGGAAAGGAATTTACAACTCCAAGGTGTTCTGACTGTGTACAATCATGGAAAGGGAGGAAGAACATCTGTGGAAACTTTTCTCTGTACAGACAGCTCTACTGGCATTATTCTTCTACATGAAACTCTTAGGTAGAGATCGCTGCTTATTTTATTAATAACCATGTTAATAAAGGTGTTGAAGATCACATAGGTGCTATAGGGCGGAGTTGTGTTTAAAGCTGTGTCTATGTGTCTCCAAAAACAATGCTTCATTATTATACTCTTATACCTCTAAAGAGCATGCAAGTCTCTGTTTACCATCCACCAATAGATGGACAGGATAAAGAAATTGTGATGTATGTAAACATATA